TTAATTTTTAGACATAGTTGGGTCTTGGGTGGCCATAATTTAACCAAAGGCCGCCGTGGTATAGTGTATACATGGTGACTGGCTCTGCACCTAGATTTTCACACTTTTATCTTTGTTTTTTTTAGGTAAATATTAGTTTTTGAGGAAAATGATCAAATAGGCCCTCAAACTTTAACTTAAAAGTCAATTAAGTCCCTAAATTTTTTAAATGTGCAATTACATCCATCAACAATTCATTTAAGTGCAATGAAGTCCAAAAACAAATTAATGACCTGCTATCACAGGTCATTAGGGTTCAGGCCACCTTCTGGCAAATTTTTCGGCAAAAAAAAAAAGTGACCGGCGAAATTTTCGACAAAAGAAGTGACCGGAGAAATTTTCAGCAAATCTGGGTCGGTTGCTGGTCACTTTTTTTTTTTGTTGGAAAATTCGCCGGAAGGTGGCCTGAACCATAATGACCTGTGTTAGCAGGTCATTAACTTGTTTTTGGGCTTCATTGCATCTAAATGAATTGTTGATGTGTGTAATTGCACCTTTAAAAAGTTTATGGGCCTAATTGACTTTTAAGCTAAAGTTTAAGGGCCTATTTGACCCTTTTCCCGATTTTTTTAAAAATAAATATGCATGTGTAATTGTGTACTATTAGTTTTTTTTTTTTGATACTTGATTATACTTGATATAATTAGACACAATTATACAGGTATCATCGATAAAGTACATATTTAGTTGTATTCGATATTATCATTAGCACTTAATACTTTCATATTAGTTTGAAGGGGAAAATTATTAAATAAACTATTAAACTTTAAAAATTAATTATATCACTGAAACTTTAAAAATTTGTAATTAGACAAATGCATCAACTTATCATTTTTGGGCATATGAGCCCAATAGTCCTAAAGTAAAAACTGGTAATTAGGATCCTGGTGATGGAAACCAGTTATCCCCTTTGAAGAAAAAAAAAAAGAAGGCGGCAGGCCACCGATCACCTTCTTCGTCAAAAGAAGAAGGCGGCCAGCAGGTCACCTTCACTATTGAAGAAGTTTACCAATTAAAAAAGCGATCAACAATTGTTCATTGATTTTTATCACTAGAGCTCTAGTTTTAGGTACCGATAGATAATTAATTATTAGGTTCATATACATAAAAATCACAAATTAATATATTAGTTACAACTTTTTAATATTCAAGTGTCAAGACTCTTTCGTAACCCTTTCCTCAGATTGAATATAAACCAAACAAATATATATTAACCTCGTACGACATGGCTGATGACACCATTCAGATACGTCTAGAAAGAAAACTGAAATTTTTTAATTCAAATGACAAATTATTATTTTACTTTTTAATCCATATCACATCACACATAAAGATAGAAATTGAATTCATATTTACTGTAGTAGAAAGAGATATCATTTATTATCAATTATACACCGACTTTCTCGAAAAATAAATTATGACAATAATGACCCTCGTATTATTATTATTATTATTTTTTTTTTTTTTTTGGATTTTTCTTGTGGGTGTTGTTGCTTTCACTCTTTCAATCCTTTACTTTGCAATTGAAAACGAAGGGGTGTAGGGTCCACTTTCTTTTATTAGCAAATGGCAATCCATGCTTCCTCTCCACATATACATCAAGGAGCATTTAGGGAAAAAGAAATTTTATATATATATATATATATATATATATATATATATATATATATATATATATATATATGTTCACACGTATTATTGACTATATTGAGTACCACAAAATAAATGTAACGTGATATTATGAAATTTGATAGTCATTTTTTTTCATTTGATAATTCCACCAAATTGACTCCAACCCATGATACACAATTTATTAATTTATAAAAAAAATAGATACGGGGTATAAATATATCTATGTACCTTCTAAATATTCACTTTTTTTTAGAATCCTACTGTACTACTGACACTGTTACAATATAATATCTGTTTATATCTACTTTCTCAATTTATTAAAGTACAAATAGTCAATATCACCTCCACTAGAGCTTGAACTTATAAACTCCCATTTGAGAGAGTTACTTCATACCACTAGACCACGAGAATATTGGCCTAGGTGTCATTGTTAAACTTACCGGGTGGGGGTTATACGTATTAATGTTATTTATTACAATGTATTCCATCCACATAAAATCTTGTAATATTCCGAAAATCCGAACCATTTCTTGTGGATGTGAAATTGCTAAATTCTCCCATTCAAGGAAGCAGAATAAAGTCAACTACCGATAAAGAAGGGAACGCCTTTTGAAAATAAGAAAGAGCAAAATTTCTTTTCTTTTCTTGTACGAAAAGAGCAGAAAAAGGACCATTTTTATTTATTTATTTTTGCTTAGGTTGATCTAATCCAACACGAAAGTTCAAAGTCTATCCTCATCTTGCTTGCACTCCCAATTAGAATACGGAGTAGTAATTAAATTGACAATCCCTAACATCACCACGTGCTTCCATTTTTCAACGACAATAAGTCAATAATTGATAATTTTTGCATGAAAAATATTACGATATTTCTTTTTTTTTTTTTTTGGGAAGAAGCGATATTTCTTATTATTTTTATAAGGACTCTATATTTTAGACACATTAGAATTTTTATTTTTATATTATTAGGAGTATTGACACTTTGTATGATTATAATACATATCTTCATCATGTATTTTATATCATAATGAATTGGTCATTAAGAAGATTTTTTTTTTTTTTTGAAAGGGGTCAATAATAATATTATTTTCATAACTATTGTCTAAATGGTCAATGGCTACAAACCCTACCCAGAAAAAAAAAAAATCATTGTCGTCGCTGGCCAGTGACACTACATCCGCTTCTCGCATCATCAATATTGTCTATCCAAACAATAAATACTCTACAAATAGCGCATCACTTTATCTCCATTAAACATATATACTTCCTCAAACTATTTGTTAGGGAAGACTCGACTTGTTTTCTTTCTTCGTGGTCAAAATCTTAGTGGATACGTTGAAGACTTGTTTCTGTGTCTATGACCGGATAAGTGTTTCGTTGTAGACTTGTTGTATCCTTATAAATATATCTCTTCATCATGCACGTTATATCATAATCAATAATAAAATTATTCTCAGAATTATTGTTGTCGTCATTTCTATAATATATATTTACTGATACAATTTTTAATTTTTTTGAAAAAACTGGAAAACATTTATGTTAATTCCAAATGAAAAATATAACTCCCATCTCTTACATACCTATGAATGTACTTGTATCACTATTTTTACCTACCCTACCATTACTTATATATTTATGTATTACTATGATTGTATTTATTACTTTCTTCTCTTACTTGTCATATTTTTTATATTATCTATTTTTATCTCCATATGTGCAAAGAGTTAGATATTATTCAAATTATCTAAAGCAAAATTAAATTGATCTTTAGATTTTACATAAACTTGCTAGGTTGTTACATTGGTTAAGATATTTTTAGTTATATTAAGGAGTTAATACCATTTGAGGTCCCCCGAGTATAGTGATTTTGCCATGTTTAGTCCTAAACTTTCAAATTGACCATATGTGGTCCTTCGACTTTCAAACTTAACCATTCGTGGTCCAAGTTAACCACACATGGTCCTTCAACTATTAAATTTTAATCATCCATGGTCCTTTCATGAGGATCACTACTGGTTAAATTTCAAAACTTGAAGGACCATGTGTGATTAACTTGGACCATGAATGGTTAAATTTGAAAGTCGAAGGACCACAAATGGTCAATTTGAAAGTTTAGGACTAAACATGGCAAAATCACTATACTCGGAGGATCTTAGATGGTATTAACTCTTATATTAAGATATAAATTGATTTGGATATTGAATGTTAAACTTCATATATATTGGACTAGAAAGTAAAATATATAGTTTAAAAATTCACTTGAAATTTTGAATTTGTGTTATTTGTATAAGGTTGTAGTCACCAAAAAAAAAAAAAAAAGTGTGGTAAACATGTCTTCTAAAATATAAAACAAAAAAAAAATAAAATAAAAAATGTAAACTAAAAAAATAGAAAACAGATAATGGAAAACTAAAGTAAATGGGGCCCAAGTGCTAGGCAATGTCGAATTTTGGGTTGTGCAAGCTGTATAAGTGAACAATAGTACATGGCCTCAAATTTTAGAGAGTTTAATATTTAATTTTTACCTAGTTAGTTAACACAAATTGTAATTAATTTAAAAGACTCCGTAAAGAAATGGTAGATATGCGTTTCTATGGTGTCCCATCTTAGAAGTCAAAGGTTTACCCTGATATCAAACCACTTCAATTTTTCACCACCATAATTCTTAGTGTTTCAATCTCAACGTTCACTTAAAAACACTCAAAACTTACATAAAAATCACTTTGCTTGTACATGGGGCATGCATTGCAAAATATTACGGAGTATTAAATAAGATCCATTGCCCACTCTCATCCTCAATTGTGCCTAGGGGTGACCGCGGTTTCAGTTCCGGTTCCGCAAATAGACAAACTGAAATCGAAATCGTAAAGTACGGTTTCGATTTCGGTTTATGAACCGGCGGTTCCGGTTAGAACCGTGGATTTTATATAAATAAAAAATTAAAAAAAAAATTAGAAGCCTAAAGAGGCAAAGACCAAAGTATGATGCACGCCTCCTTGCGCCACTGCCCACTGCCTCTTTGCGCCACTGCCCACTGCCCAATGCGGCAGTGAGGCAGTATGCTACACGCCTACGGCCTGCAGCCAACAATTAATTTTTTTTCTTTTTTTACAGTTTGGAACCGGAACCGTCCGGTTCTGAACCGGAACTGACGGTTCTGATTTTTTTATTCCACAAACCTTAACCGGAATTTTATTGGTTCCGGATAGGAACCGGAATCGGCGAACGATTTCGGTTACTACAGTGTCGGTTACAGTTCGAACCTCCGGTTCGAACCGAACTGTGGTCACCTCTAATTGTGCTCAAGAAAAAAAAAAAAAAAAAAAAACCAATAAATTGTTGTATGTGATCTATATAAACTCAACTAAGTGAAGAGGATCTCAACCATAACGGCAAAGTAGTTATTTAGAATAGTTGTATTCCTATCCCCAGAAAATCGACTGACCCACTCCGGCGGCTCTTCTCTCCCCGAGGAGGTGCCTCACTGCACAACACTTTTCCGACGGAGAAGCTTTCACTAGAACAAGGGGGGAATGAGTTTGTTCTCCGACGAAGACGAAGGCGACGTATTGGTGCCGCCGCCGAACTTCTCGGCGGTGGAAGATTTCTGCATTTACAGATCAGGATTCCCTCAGCCCTCCAATTTCCCGTTTCTCCAGTCTCTCAATCTTCGCTCCATCATGTATGTTTCGTAGTTCTAAATTTTGTTTTCTTCAACGTTGTTGAGATTTGATGTTTGTTCTGGAGCTGAAGACTTTGATTTTATGTACTCATATATGTATATTTTGAGTGCAGATATTTGTGTCCGGAGCCCTACCCGGAAGAGAATAAAGAGTTTCTTCGACTTAACAAAGTGAAGCTTTTTCAGTTCGGAATGGATGGCACAAAGGTAATAGTTTTCCCCTTTTCCCCAACCATTGCTGTTATGTTTCAAATGATTGAGAACAGCTATTGTTAATTTGTTCCGTGTTTGTGAGTACCAAGGTTTTGTGATTTTTCATATTGCAGAACTTCATTTGTACTCACTGGAAAATGGAAATATTCATAATTCATGTAGAAATGCTAGCTAGCAATTGTTTCTAGATTTTGACCTTCATGGTTTGATCTTTGAATGTCATCATGTAATCTCCAGACTGTTATTACTTTCTGGGTTGGAGTCAACTATTCAATATAGGGCATATAATCATTTCCTTCTTTCCTTCTTAAGAAATACTAGCATTGTTTTTCATCAGAACAGAGCCCAGATATTGGTCAATGGCTTTGGGATGGATTTTACATGAATATTGGTGCTGTTGTTTTGTTGTAGACTCTCTGATGTTCATATTTTTTTCTTTGTTCACTTCAATGGCTTTGAGTGAAGATTTTCTGTTATATTAGCACTGAATTACTCTATATTGGAGGAAAAAAAAAAAAAAGAACAGTTTATGTATCTACAAGATTGCTTTAGATCTCTATAAACTTTTTGTAGGCTGACAGTAGAATAAATTATGTATGGAATATATCTTCTTTTGTTGCCTTTTCTTGGATCTTTAGTAAGATAGAACCTTTTTGCTTTTCAGGAGCCATCAGCTATTCCCACTACTGCCATACAAGATGCTTTGAAAGTCTTAATTGGTATCAATCTTATTATTATGCTGTGACTCTTGACCACTGTCCTATTTCTCAAACTAGTACTGATATCTTTATACTTCCGTTTTTTAGATGTGAGAAACCATCCAGTCCTGATCCATTGCAAGCGTGGAAAGGTATAGCTTGCCTTGAGATATCAATATCTGATTTTTAATTTGTGCCCTCGCTAAGAATATGCGGGCTTAGTTTTGTATGCTGGTTTTAACTCGTTACTATATTTAATCCTGCAGCACCGAACTGGCTGCCTTGTTGGGTGCCTGAGGAAACTGCAGAATTGGTGTTTATCATCAGTGCTGGAAGAGTACAAGCATTTTGCGGGTAAAAAGTGGAGAGAAACTGACTATAGGTTTCTTGAGGCATATGATGTCTCGTGTATAAGGTATTGCCTTCAGAGTATCATTTACCGCTACCATAGCTCAAAGAAGAGGCGCTTAGTTTACGGAGAAGAGAGTAAAGAAAACCTGGGTAGTTTCTGTTTAGCAGGGGTGATCTATATCAGGCTTTCTAATTGATTGAAGAAAGATTGGATTGCCCATTAGTCCTTTTACTTCAAGATTTTTGGGAGTTATATATTTGTGTAGATTTCTCTTATGTTGTCATTTAATTGTACAATAATTGAAATGCTAGTAACTTTGGCATCTTCTTAGAAGTTTGTTGTGTACCTGATCCATGATAACAAGATTCCCAGGCACCATACCCCACTGCAGGTCATATTTCCTGACCTGCATTTTACCTAAGTAAACTACATGTTGAAGAAAAAGTCAATTTAGCAAAATTTTCTAGATATCTCTCAAAGAAGACAAAGAAGAAGAAGAAGAAATGCAATAGAGGATAAGAAAGGAGTTCAAATCTGTGATTATGGAACATCAGTTCTACAAAACTGCCAGTTTAAAACAAAGTGAGAATTTTCCACAATGCATGAAACCAGAAGCTCACAAGGGACTACTTTATTTCAGTCTATACCACACTAGGACACATCAATGTTACAAGACCCAAACCAATTAAAGCAAATAATAGCTCGACATGGGATAGTTGGTTTGACCGCAAGCTGAGCCAACCTCTTTAGATCAACTTGTGAATGGTTTTCATGTCGGCAGCTTCCTTGAGAGTCCCTTTCTCAACATGGTCCCACCATTTGAATATGAAATTATCCACAACAAGTCTGAACCAAGGGGACAGTTTTATACCCTCCTCGCCAGCATCTGCTTTCCTCAAAATTTCTTTCAACTGCTCTTGGTTCACGTATTTAACATCTGCAACCTCATCGGGGTTCGGATGCACGCTGACATCCCGCACAATGAAGAGAAGATAGTCAACTGCAAGAACAAGCCCAATTAGTATGCCCAGGTGCAAGGATCCGTACATGTATTCTTATGTAAATATATAAGCAGTGATGCATTATGAAATGCTAATGCTGCAATAAGAAGAAACTAGGAGGAAAAGCCAATAACAAGCAGATAAGTGCTTGTTTGGCCACTCAATGGCTCCTTTTGGAAAGGGACTCTTCTGAAAAGTCCAATTTGGAGCTTCCCAAGACAGTTTTTCCTCTTATCTAGTTTGAATGGCCTTATTATTGCCCTTTATTGGCCCAGCTTTTGTTTTGTTTTTTAGTGCTGATAAACTCCAAAATAAAAATTGAAAAAAAGAAGAAATAAGAAATTTTTTAGGATGTGATAGGGTAATTTTGATTTTTTTTTAAAGCATCATTAAACACCCTCTTCTTCTCAAAAGTCAAAAGAGAGCTTCTCAAAGAAGCCTCAAATCAAAACTTCTCAAACAAGAAACAAGTTGCCTCTAACCTACCTCAAAAACAATTTTGTAAAAAAAAACCTACTTCGCCCAGCTTATTGCTCTTGGAGTAGATAAGCATCAATAAGCTACAGGCCAAACAAGCACAAAGGTTTTACAGAAAAGCCTCTTTTGGAAGAAGCCATTGGCTAGGCCAAACAAGCATGTAGTAATTTGCTCAGTTTGACACGATACAAACATTGCCCCTAGGGTAGTAAATTAACAGCTGATGAAAAATGCAAGTTTCATATAGGTAGAGTGTAAAAAGCCCTTACGTTCATGTTCTCCCCACTTCCCATCAGAAGGTGCTTTGTAAAGCATACGGCCCAATGGTGTGAACTGGTCAACTGGGACATCTTCAGCAGGAATACCCAATTCATCAAGAAGTTTCCTTTGGGCAGCATTTCTCACTCCTAAAAATGAAATAATAGGTCAATTAAACATAGTGTTGGTAGCTGTGTCAAGTTTGGAAATTCAGTGTACATAACAGATATATTTACCAAGTGCATTCTCATCAATAAGCTCGGACTCCCGGTAAAGAGGATGGCTGCAGCAAGTGTTAGTCCACACCAAAGGGAAGGTAACTTTTGTTGCAGATCGTTGCTGCACAGCACACATATCAGAACATTCATAAAATGCTTTTAAGAATATTGAAGTTATATATCAGTATACCACCCAACCCTACCCAAAGATTTTTCCATAATAAGTGGGGTTGGCTACAGGACTCTGCAACACCACTTGACTTTTATGGAAGTCATATAATGGCGCCAAACAAGTGAAACAGCACATTACATGACCAAGATATTAATTCTATAAAGGAATTACCTTACTGAAACCAACAGGAAGAAGATTCTAGAATATACATGCCAAGTGACATGAAACAGTTTAGGTGCTCAACCAAATGCTTGGCAAAAGCAAATGAATTCACTATTTTAAAGCAGCACCAATCAAGCACTTATACTGTTGGCCTGTTGCTTAATAATTTTCACTATTAAACCTTTATTCTCAACAGGATGGAATAGTTTTTTAACAGTTCTTACTTTGGAGTTGAATAGACACTATACTGACTACCTATAAACTGATCTAGTCGCCTTTCTCTTTTGAAGTCAACCCAGGTACATGGTAATGCAGTCACAGTATAGAAGCCTTGAAAAATGAAGACTAAGTCTCAACATGTAGACAAAGATTGTACCATTTCTATACAACAGGCCAAAACTTCAAGATTGCTACATATTGCAATCCACCCAAAAGATAGGAATGAAGTGTTTCCTTATCTTACTAGTTACAACCATTAAACAAAACATGACACCTTTTACCTCAGAATAATATTCTCTATGAATTACATGGTTCCTTATCTTACAACCTTTTCCTCTTTCCTGCCCTCTATATAGTTCTACACGTGCTGACATTGATAATGTAACATAAAGACCCAAAAGTATATTCAATTGCCTCTTTCATTCAACTTAGTAAAGGAAAGGAAGAATAGCAATGAAAAGCTTTTTTGACTTGCATTACTAATTCTGTACTAAAGGTGATTCATTAGAGATAATAATGTATTTTGTATATGTACCTGAAGAAGCAACTCATATTTTGAATTAAACAGGAAAACACTGAAGGCTCTATGCAGCAAGTTTTCAGATTCAATCTTCTCCATCAGATGGCCTGCATATTGACCATAATGATTTATTGGTAAATCATGAATTTGTGACTGCTAAATATATGCAACCAGGAGTATAATAGACCAGTAAATTATAGGACAGCAACTTGTCAAAAGCGAGAACTAAAAGCACTATAAGTGACAGTGAATTAGCTGGTTTCTAAGCAGGATTACCCTATAATGTTAAGTGTTCAATTATCAGCTTGCAAGTCCCTATTAAACAAACTGAAAACTTACAACTAAATGTCAATAGATTCCACACTTGTTGGATATGTATCCAATACATGTCAAACAGATAATGACTGTAATCATTGGAAACCAAAGTAAATATGTTTCCATTCATGTGAAGGCCTGATTTCTTAATAAATGTTTTACCATTGAGGTTTTTTATATAAGTATATATAAAATGTGAAGTTAAATTAGCTTTTTATTATACCAAAAATATATGGTTTGAGATAATTGGTATAGTGGAATAACTAGGGAAATTCATGGAGTACTAATCTATTGTCAAATACAACTTATTTGAAAGAACAAAATGAATTGGTAAAATAAGTTCTTAATCAATAATTTTTTGAGACAGTTAAAGGCATGTTAGGTCACATGATAAATGATACAATTACGAAACATCACCACTTATGTAAAGTAGCTGTCATAGTGTCATGCATAAATTACTTAAATGAGCTACTAGAGTGTAAAAAGGGACACAAGAATATGATGCAGATGGTAAGAACACTATATAAAATTTGCATACCAAAGCCAAGTTCCAACTTGTTGAACGGAACCAATGATAAATCAAATTTGCAGCACTATTTCATCACATTTAAAATGGCTTCTCATTTAAGTAGAACTAAAATATTAAACTGCTTTCTTTATCCATTGGACTGCAATGTTATATACTTGACAAATCTGTAGACTCTAACACTTCCCAAGTCCCAATTATACATTAAAAGAAAACAATCTTACCACATATTTAAGTAGAACTAAAATATTAAACTGCTTTCCTTATCCATTTGACTGCAATGTTATATACTTGACAAATCTGTAGCCTCTAACACTCCCCAAGTCCCAATTATACATTAAAAGAAAACAATCTTACCACACATTTAAGTAGAACTAAAATATTAAACTGCTTTCCTTATCCATTTGACTGCAATGTTATATACTTGACAAATCTGTAGACTCTAACACTCCCCAAGTCCCAATTATACATTAAAAGAAAACAATCTTACCACACAAAGGACTAAATTTAAAATTTGCGCCATAATTGTGGCACTGAAACCGATTAGATCTTTGAATTGAATTTTTAGATGGCATCTATTAGCGATTCAATAACACCAGAATATACTGACAGTAAGAAAGATGTAAAAATGGGGGCTGAAAAGTGCACTTACAATTGTATTTGGTATCATGACCAACAACATTGTCATTCTCATCAACCAATATACATCTGCAGTAATCAATATTAGATGTTAACTTTACTATGAAATGCAGCGAAAACTATCATTGACACTAGACAAACATATAACTATACTTGATATGCAGTACATATGTTTGTTTCGTCAGTGATTTAAAGATGAATGCATACAAAGGCAGTCAAGGTTCAGTTGTCATCTAGAAGGTATGAGAGAGACACTACAGCTTTGTTCAATTACAATCTAAATGGAATATTCAACAAGTTATGAAGTTAAACTAACAATGTCAAAAAAGAGGCATGCATATCCAAAAGAACTAACAAAATCATGGATTCGCTTAAGAGTTCCATCTTCCAGTAAGCATAAACTATTGCAAACAGTAACTAAAGCAATGACAATAGTGTAATAACGCTAAGGAAGCAAAAAAATCCATGAAATCCAGTTGAACCAAACTTAACTTCGGAGAGACCAGTAGATTAACATATCTGTATCGCTTTTTAAGTTGGAGATATAAGTATAATGATGAACACACGCAAAACAAGTAAAAATAAGTATAAACGGCGAGCTAAGTTCCGGAGACCCCCAAAAAATACTACGAGAACAGAGAAGGAAATTGCAGAACACTCTTCCTCCATAATCGACTTTACAGCTAGCCTTAGAGGTCCATTGATTTAGATTCAAATCGCAGTCGCAGCATCATCAAATGAAATCGCAACAAAGAGGACCTCAAAAAACGGGGAAAAGAGAAAGAGAGCAGTACGTACTCGTCCTCGAACATGAGGCGGCGCTGGACAGCGTCCATGTTGGCGTCGGCGGCGGAATCAACCATAGCTCTCCGAAGATTGTGAGATTTGATTGGTTGAGAAAAAGGAGGATAGCAATGGAGGAGGAGCAGTGTGAGCTATAGTGTTGAAGGCTCGAAGAGCAGCACCTGAGACTTATATAGATGGAGGAGTCATTGGAGCTTCCGCCAACATTTGTTGATTTTCTTTCCTTTATTCCATCTTTTGGACTTCAAATACGAGTGAGTATACGACTTGATTAAAATTATACTCCCTAAAGTACGGAAAACGGTAGTATTATACGTAAAGTTTAACTGCCACCAACAATTTACTTGTCTCTGATTCTCTATCTCTATCTCTATATATATTAAAGTAAAATGGATGGGCAAACTGCTAATTTATTTTACATATATTTTATATACATAATTACAAAAATGCTAAATAAATTATACAAAAATCATTACAGATTTACTAAATATAATATTATAATAATTAATTTCATCAAATTTCCTATCTTCAATTCTGCTAAATCAACTTCAATAAATTATTTAAATTTATCTTGATGTAAAATAAAATCAAATATTTATTGGAAATCATTCCAAATATGAAATAACTAAATTTATATCATTTTTAAAAACAAAATCATTCCAAATATGAGATAACCTTATCATTGCCGACTGGATCTAATTTACTAAATTTAATATTATAATAATTAATTAATTTCATCAAATTTCATAACTTCAATTCTGCTAAATCATTTTAAAATTCTTAACGGAATTGCAGTATTTATGTAACAATTAACTCATTTCATTGTTTAAAAAAAAATAACTCATTTCACATCAACAGTGCAATTATAAATTTCTGCAGACACCACGATCTAAAATAAAATCAAATATTATTCAAAATTATTTCAAATATGACCAATATTGAATATTTTATATGAACCAAATCGGTAAAAAATAATTATAAATTATTTGAATTTATCTTGATGTAAAATAAAATCAAATATTTATTGAAAATCATTCCAAATATGAGATAACTAAGTTTATATAATTTGTAAAAGCAAAATCATTCTAAATATGAGATAACCTTATCATTGCGTATTGGATCCAATTTATCAAATTTAATATTATAATAATTAATTAATTTCATCAAATTTCATAACTTAAATTCTGCTAAATCATTTTAAAATTCTTAACGGAATTGAAGTATTTATGTAACAATTAACTCATTTCATCAATGTCAACTACCATGTAATGCAATGGCATCCCGGTTACCCATACAAGGGCTTAGATTCTTTGGGCTGAAAATGTTTGAGAGAGTATAGAACAGATATTACCTTGTAAAGAATTATAAGTATTTCAAAAAAAAAAAAAAAAAAAAAAAAAACTCATTTCATCAATTGTGCAACTATAAATTTCTACGAACACCACGATTTAAAATAAAATCAAATATTATTCAAAATCATTCCAAATATGACCAACATTGAATATTTTATATGAACCAAATCGGTAAAATAATTATAAATTATTTGAATTTATCTTAATGTAAAATAAAATCAAATATTTATTGAAAATTATTCCAAATATGAGATAACTAAATTTATATCTTTTTTAAAAGCAAAATCATTCCAAATATGAGATAACCTTATCATTGCAGATTGGATCCAATTTACCAAATTTAATATTATAATAATTAATTTCATTAAATTTCATAACATAAATTCTGCTAAATCATTTTAAAATTCTTAATGGAATTGCAGTATTTATGTAACAATTAACTCATTTCATCAATAGTGCAATTATAAATTTCTGTGAATACCATGATGTAAAATAAAATCAAATATTATTCAAAATCATTCCAAATATGACCAATATTGAATATTTTATATAAATCAAATCGGTAAAATAATTATAAATTATTTGAATTTATCTTGATGTAAAATAAAATCAAATATTTATTGAAAATTATTTCAAATATGAGATAACTAAATTTATATCATTTTTAAAAGCAAAATCATTCCAAATATGAGATAACCTTATCATTACAGATTAGATCCAATTTACCAAATTTAATATTATAATAATTAATTTCATCAAATTTCATAACTTAAATTCTGCTAAATCATTTTAAAATTCTTAACTGAATTGCAGTATTTATGTAACGATTAACTCATTTCATCACTAGTGCAATTAAAAATTTCTGCGAACACCACGATGTAAAATAAAATCAAATATTATTCAAAATCATTCCAAATATGACCACCAATATTGAATATTTTATATGAACCAAATCGGTAAAATAATTATAAATTATTAGAATTTATCATGTAAAATAAAATCAAATATTGTCTCCTACAACTCAAGTACAAATGCTACATCAACAACCAACGTGGTATACCACGAAATTTTCAATAATTTGTAATTGTGTGACACTTATTTTTGTATATTGTATATTAAAGTAATTTCATTATTGTTACTATTTTGCCTTTACATTTTTCTAAAAGATCGACTTTGTAATTTGCAAATTTTAATATAGTAATCTCTTAAATTTTTCACACAATTAAACAATATCTTGAACAATATCCTTCCCCTGCATGGCACAGGTACTATACTAGTAATTGAATAAAGAAAAATAAATGAATTTTTCCACAATAAAAAGAAATGAATAAAACTCATAGCTCGTCTCATTTTATTAATCAAACAAAACATAACATATATGAGATGTTTGGTAAATGACTGTTAGTTGTTAGCTAATTGGATTAGTGTATTTGACTAGTTGATAACATTAGCTGATTGTAGAAAAAAATTGATAAATTAGCTGATAGTTGATTACATGCAAAATGATTTTCTCAAAAAACTTATCGAAAAAACTGCTTTTGAACAGTTTTTTAAATGTTAGCATTTTAGAATAATAAGTTTTTACAAAACTTAATTAATCAAACACTTATATTGATTGTTTAACCAAGTCAAACAGTTAATAGTGATCAAATAAGTTAAAATTGACTAATAATATCACGAAAGGAGGGAAGGAAGAACGAAGGTCACTGTTTTATTGAAGCAAAGGAATCCAAAACTGCTTTCAACTAACTCTTTAGACAAGTCTGACACAGACTTTTTATATACATCAAGAAGAGAGACTACTAACTCCCTAACTGCTTTGCTAACTGATATAACTAACATGGAGGTTAGTCCTCTAATACCCCCCCCCCCCCCCCTCCCGCAAGCTGGGATGTATATGGAATGGAGTCCTAGCTTGGAGATGAGTTTTTGGAAGGGTAAAGGCTGCAAAGATTTAGTCAAAACATCAACAATCTGGTTAGTAGTAAACACATGGAGTAACTTGATGACGCCTTTTTGAATTTTCTCCCTAATGAGGTGACAATCAATCTCGATGTGCTTTGTACGCTCGTGGAAGACAAGATTTTCTGCAATAGCCATTGCTGACATGCTATCAGTATACAGTATGACAGGTTCTTCTATTCTCACTTCCAGTGTCTCTAGTAGAAAAATCAGCCACTGAATCTCACATGCAGCAAGGGAGATGGCTCTGTATTCAGCTTCAGAGGAAGACCTAGACACTGTGCTTTGCTTTTTTGACTTCCAGGACACAAGTGATTCACCTAAGAACATACAGAAACCTGTTACAGACCTTCTGGTATCAGGACAAGATGCCCAATCAGAGTCAGCAAACCCCCTTAGTTTTAAGCTAGAAGTGGCTGGAAAGAACAATCCTTGAGCTGGGCAATTTTTGATATATCTCAGAACTCTATGGGCTGCTTGTAGATGCAGAGTGGTAGGCTTGTCTAGAAACTGGGAAAGCTGTTGGACTGCAAAACAAATGTCAGGCCTTGTAATAGTCAGGTATAACAAACGACCAACAAGCCTTCTGAATGATTTGTTGTCCTGCAATGGTGAATCTTCATCTTCAGACAGCTTCAGAGTATGTGTCATGGGGGTCTTCATTGGCTTGCTTCCCAAAAAACCAGTCTCTGTTAATAAATCCAAGGCATATTTCCTCTGATTGACTGCAATGCCTTTATGAGTTCTAGCCACTTCAATACCTAGAAAGAACTTCAGATTCCCAAGATCCTTAATCTGAAACACAGAATGTAAATGGTCCTTAATTTGTTGAATTTGATTTCCACTGCTGCTTGCCAGTATAACATCATCAACATAGACCAACAGAGCTATGAAATTGTCACCAGAACCTTTTGTGAATAAAGAGGTGTCACAAATGGCCTGTTTAAATCCCAGTGCAATCAATTCACTTGTAAGCTTAGAGTTCCACCGTCTACTTGCTTGCTTGGGCCCAAAAAGAGACTTTTTTAGCTTGCAAACCTGCCCTGGATGTTCTGCAATAAAACCTGGTGGAAGTTGCATGTACACCTCTTCATGAAGATCACCATGAAGAAAGGCATTGTTCACATCTAATTGATGGAGTTGCCACCCTTTTACAGCTGCCACAGCAAGTAGTGCCCTTATGGATGTGATCTTGGCTACTGGACTGAAAGTATCAACATAGTCCAATCCACAAGTTTGGGTATATCTCTTGGCAACTAACCTTGCCTTGCATCTTTCAACAGTGCCATCTTGTTTGTATTTGACTTTATAAACCCACCTGCAACCTATGGCAATCTTGGTGGGAGGAAGAGTAGTTAGATCCCAAGTGTGGTTGGCTTGGAAAGCATCTATTTCTGCTTGCATAGCCACTTTCCAACAGTCATGCTGAATAGCCTCATTATAGGTTTTTGGTTCAGCTCCAGTCTACACATTTAGGGCAAAGGATTTGTATGTAGGAGAAAGTTTATCATAGGATAGGACAACAGATAGAGTGTGAGGGGTGGACCTTTTACTGGGGAGATGACAGCTGTAGTCCTGAAGGTATGCAGGCCTAGATACTTGCCTGTTGGATCTTCTAACTTGCAGTTGGTGTGGCTCAGTATTGCCTAGACAATGTGTTGGCCTCTCATTGTGAGCTGATGCTACATTTTCAGAGCTATCAACTGGATTGCCATCAGACTGGGAGAGAATAGGTGGGATGTTATTTGGGTTTGTGGGTGATGTAGTGCTGGAGTTTGGGAGAATTTTGGGTGGGTAATCATCATGTATATGTGTTGGGTTAGGCAAAATAATGGGAGATTTGTTTGTGTGTTTGGTTGAGCAGTATTGTGTCTGGTAGGGAAAATTCTCTTCATAGAATACAACATCCCTTGATAAGAAGACTTCTCTAGTATGCAAATCATACACCTTGTATCCCTTCACAACAATGGAGTATCCCAGAAATATGCACCTCCTAGCTCTTGGGGCAAATTTGATTTTATGAGCCTTGAGATTGGCTGCATAAGCTAGACAGCCAAAAACTCTAAGATGGCTAAACTGAGGAGAGTGTCCAAAGAGGACCCGATGAGGGATTCTGCCTTGCAAACCATCTGAGGGTATTCTGTTGATAATGTATACAGCCTGTAAAATGCAATCTCCAAAAAAACACTCTGGTAAGCTGGCTTGAAATCTCAGGGCTCTTGCAACACTAAGGATATGCCCATGCTTTCTCTCTACCACACTGTTTTGCTGAGGTGTATAGGGGCAAGAAATCTGGTGAATGATCCCTTTTTCTTGGTAAAATTTGTCCATCTTGAACTCTTGCCTATTGTTTGACCTAATACACTTGATAGTTTTTCCAAACTGTGCGTGAATCAGGGCACAAAAGTTCTGGACCATACTCCTAGCTTCATGCTTGCCTCTCATCAAAAAAACCCAAGTTAATCTGCTAAAATCATCCACAATGGTCAGAAAGTACTGGTGACCATAAATGGTGTGAACACCATATGAACCCCAAATATCCACATGGATTAGGTCAAAACAGGCAACAAAAGTAGTGGTACTAGCAGGAAAAGGTAGCCTTTTCTGTTTAGCCAAATGACATATGTCACAAACTGAATCTTTATTTGATTTCAAATCAGGATTGTACAATTGTAGCATTTTCAACTTTGAATGAGAAACATGTCCTAGTCTGGCATGCCACAAGCTGGCAGCACTACATACATTCACTTTGATGTCTTGTACAGAATCATATGAAGAGAAAAAAATAGGCTGCATCAAATAGTATAGCCCTTTTTTCCAATTTAGCCTGTCTAATCATCCTCCCATGGACATGATCCTGTATGATGCATACATCAGAATGCAATAACAGTTTGCACTTGGAGCTTTTAATCAGTTCACTGACAGATACTAAGTTGTAATGAAAATCAGGCACACAGAGGGCATTCTTCAAAACTAACTCAGCTCCATTAGGAAGTTCAACATGCATACCAACAACTTTCTTGGCTTCTGTTAGCAATTGATAACTACAAACAATATGGTGAGTAGCACCACTGTCTAATATCCAAGGTGTTTTATCACTAGATGGTGAGAGGGAATTACCTTCTAGTTGAGTGCTGGGGATAAAGTTTGCTGAGATCACATTTTCTTGTGGTCTGATTTCATCATCCAGTGGAGAAGCCTGACTATACGTACTGTTCTCCCTTTGCAATAACTGCTTGATCATCATATACTCACTTTGAGACAGTGAGACAGTATCCCCTAAAGTAGCTTGACCAGTAACCTGCACTTGATTAACTGCCCCTGTATTCCGGTTTCTTGGCTTCCATCCGGGAGGATACCCGTGCTTCTTATAGCATTTTTTGGATATGTGTCCATTGAAACCACAATAGGTACACACTGGTTTCTTATTCCCATTGGGGTAGAATTCTTGGCTCCCCCAGAGGCTTGAGCAAGCAAAACACTCCCTGTATTTAAGTTGTCTGCTGATTGAGGGCAGAAACTCATACCACTATTAAACCTTCTCTCCTGTTGTTGCACCATCAGGAAAGCATCGTCAACAGAGGGTAGCGGCTTCATCATCATGATTTGCGACTGGACTGAGGCATAGCCATCACTCAATCCTCTCAGAAATACGGATAAATTTTCACTATCCGAATGGTATTGAATTTTGTCTAGCAAACCACAGTTGCACCTTCGTGCACAATTGCAAGTTGGAAGGGGCCTTATGACTTGCAGCTCATCCCATAGGGACTTCAATTTGGCGAAATACGCACCTACGCTGAGGTCTCCTTGTCGAGTCTGGTGAACTTCAGCATGTAAATCTGAGACGCGGAAGATATCGGCTTCACTGAAACGTGATTTCAAGGTTCTCCAAATTTTCTCGGCCGAACCTACCCAGAGAACAGTCTGAGCGATCTCAGATGATAACGAACGCGTTATCCAGGTGGCAACCATGTTGTTGCATCTCCTCCAATATGGAAATTTAACATCCCCGGCGTCCGGTACTACAATGGTTCCATCCACGAACCCTAATTTGTTCTTGGAGAGAAGCGCCATTTCCATCACTCGAGCCCAGGGGTGGTAATTGCGTCCGTTTAGGACTTCGGAAACGAGAATTAGGACCGGATTCTCGCTGGGATGTAAGAAATAAACACTTGACACATCGTTTGGATCGAAGACTGTGCTCGCACTGACCGTCGAGGCCCCGCCGGAGCTGTGGTTTCGGTCTGAAAACCCGGAGGCCTGCTCTCCGACTAAAAACCTGGAGGCCTGTTCTCCGTTTGAGGCACCGAAGGTCTGATCGCATTCGCTGCTCCTGTCCAGGCCATGATCTTCTCTCTCTCTCTCTCTCTAGCGCTCTGATACCATATTACGAAAGAAGGGAAGGAAGAACGAAGGTCACTGTTTTATTGAAGCAAAGGAATCCAAAACTGCTTTCAACTAACTCTTTAGACAAATCTGACACAGACTTTTTATATACATCAAGAAGAGAGACTACTAACTCCCTAACTGCTTTGCTAACTACTAACTCCCTAACTGCTTTGCTAACTGATATAACTAACATGGAGGTTAGTCCTCTAATAAATAAGCTAACTATGTTACAAAACATAGCCATAATATATAAGTAAAAAATAGAGTAAAAATCCCCCCATATTTTTAAAGACAATAATTACAATTCTTAACGAGAGATAATGTTTAACTACCCAATCTCAAGATAAGCCTAGATTAATCCAGTTTTGCTTGGAGATTATTTAAGATATATACTTCTTTCCAAAATTAAATACAATCAGTTTCTCTTTGGTGATGAGTCAACGCCTCTTAATTACAAAGTTAATTGTTGAAATTTGATTTAGTTTTTTTTTTTTTTTCGAGAGTTACTGGCTCTATTACATTGTAGTATCTGTTCATATACTTTCTCAACCTTCTGAAACACAAAGAACCAATAACGCCTCCACTGAGGCTTGAACTCATAATCTTCCAATTAGAAGTCCAACCCGGATACCATTAGACCACATAATCTAGTTAGTTATAGATTTATTAATACTTTGATTATTACTCACTATTAAAATTACAAATCTAGTCCTTTAAGAATTGAATTATTTTCAATCGTAATTCATCGTTAAATTTTCTACGTATAAATTATTAATAAAATTGTAAAGTCATGAAAATTGCACTAATTGCTTATCATAATTCATATAGGAAACAAATCCCTAATTGTCTCATTATTCTAGCAATTCTAATTTTTACCATCAATTTTATCCGTTAATACAAGAAAAAGCTTACATTGGATTTCAATTAAAAATAATTTAATACTTATTGATTAAATTTAATAGCTTTAAAAGTTAAGGACTAAACTTGAAAATGAGTGATAGTTAGGTAACTAAATCTAAAATTAATTCAATTTGAATAAATCTCATAATAGTGAAAATATCAAACCTTGTGTGTGTGTATAATAAAAAAGGCAGAATTTGTGTGTGACCATGTCACATATGAATTATTGTCTTTGAGATGGATCGAGTCAAGATGAAAATATAATACTTATAGTGATAAAATAATACTTTATATTAATCAGGGTTAAACTGCTTATTACTTATAAGAAAAAGTATAATATTTTTACATTTTTATTTAAAAGTATTACATTTTTCTTTATAAGTAACAAACACTTTATTCTTGATTACTATTACATTTTTAAGCATAAATATTACATTTTCATATTAATCTGACTCATCTCACGAATAAAAGATTCGTAGGACAATCTCACAAGAAAAGTTACTTTTATATATATATATATATATATATATATATATATATATATATATATATATATATATATATATATATGTATGTATGTTTTTGTACATAAGAATAGTGGCGTGCCAGGTGACATTAAACAAATAAATTAAACCATTTTTCATGATGGGCATGCTACTGGGGCATAGCAGCCCATGTGTTCATTGACCATATACAGCTAGTGGTTAGTATTATTTTTAATTTCGAATTTAAAATATGATTTGATGCTCATGAACGTAACTTAACGCAGTTTTTCTCTGACCCTGTGAAGATCCCTCATCCCTACTTCAACAGAGACAGAGACAGGGATGAGAACTAAAATTCAGAAAACAAGGAATTGTTACCCATTTTTTTATTGGAGGGCGGCGAAGGGGATACCCTCCCCCGTACATTAATTTTCAAAAAAGTTATATATATATATATATATATATATATATATATATATATATATATATATATATATATATATATATATATATATATATATATTGATGAAGTTATAAAGAAGTAAAGACTTGTACTATACTACTATTTGGATTTAGTAGTTTAAAATAAAATTTTAATATTTAAATTTGTTTGTTTAACTATTAAAAATTATACTAAACTACTAGTTTGAATATAGAGTTAACCGGATATGGAGATTTCGATCCCTGAAAATTTCTCATGATGTGGAAATTTTTTTATTTCTTGACGGGGAGCGAGGCGAAATTGTGAGGACAGAGACGATGAGTTTTATACCCAGCCATATCCCATTGCCATCGCTACTCTTGTTTTTAAGCATTAAGTATTTAAGTTTAGATTTGATTTATGCTCTTTAATTTTTAGTAGCCATATCAATAATAATAATAATAATAATAATAATAATAATAATAATAATAATAATAATAATAATAATAATAATAATAATAATATTATTATTATTATTATTATTATTATTATTATTATTATTATTATTATTATTATTATTATTATTATTATTATTATTATTATTATTATTATTATTATTATTATTATAGAACAGTGAACTTCACCAACCTATTAGTCCAACTTCTTGAAGTCAGTATTGGCATATTGCCACAAATTGATTGCAACCTGCAAAGTCAGATATGGTGTGATTTATTCAATATTCAATGATAGTGTGTGCCACAATACTAGGGCGATTAACTGAATATATAGCCAACCACATAGCCATTATAATAACTGTCCGAAAATAATATCAAGGTACACTGGTATGGTGGACGACCGTGATTCAAAACGGTAGTTTTTAATTTCTATTTTTTTACTAACAATTAAGAGTGCACAAAATATGATTAATCGACCAAGTAGAAACATTTTGATTCGGTTAATAATTAAGGATTTTAAAAATTTTCGATTAATGGTTAATTTGATTCAAAACTACAATCAATCAAATTGCGTGATATATATATATATATATATATATATATATATATATATATATATATATATATATATATATATATATATATATATATAGAGGATTATTTTAAAATACAAACTCCTCTTAAAATATAAACTGTGTGCATGTAAGTATGTTAACGTATACACAAGCTAATCCCGATATTGTTGGCAGTGTGCCCAGTGTGCGTGTAAGTATGTTAATGTGTGCACAAGTTTTGATGGATGGTTGTGATTTTTTTCTCCTACGCACTGTGACAGTGCGTGTAAGTATATTAATGTGTGCACGAGCTTTGATGGATGGTTGTGATTTTGTCTCCTACGCGCTGTGTAGATGTAAGTATGTTAATGTGTGCACGAGCTAATCCCAAAAATTGTTGGCAGTGTGCCCTGTGTTTATGTATGTATGTTAATGTGTGCACGAACTCAAGTTTGTATTTTAAAAGGATTTGTATTTGAATACAACCCTATATATATCACTTTTAGTTAATATGTTTTTATATTTACAAAATAAAACTAATTATATATATCAAATTCTAAAACATAAATTCTTAATTTTTAATTCTCACTTTCTCATCTCTCTATTTTCCTCCTAGCGGAGTAGCAAACTCATCCTCTTAGCAGAGTAGCGTCTCTTCCTATTTTGCTCCTAGCAGAGTAGCAAACTCACCCTTGGAAAGTTACCTTTTGTGCAAACAAAGAATGGGAATGCCAGTCCCCAGTCCATGCACAGTGGTTGCACTCTGGGTAAAATAAAATCAGTGAATGAAACTATTCTCTGAGCACTATTTACAGACTATGACAAGTTATAGACAAAATTGGGGTGGTAACCCTTGCTACAAAACAACACATCCATACAAGTTTGTATATGATATGATCTACCACCACTAAAACACTACTACTTCGTTCAACCTTTAGATGAAAACACTTGAATGGTTATGGCTGGATAGAACTACAGCTGCTGATTCATGGCCTGGATTTGCTTTTCTGCATCAGCTAGAACCTTGGTTTTCTAGGACCCTCGATGTGGAATTGATGTTAATCGTACCAAATTCTTTAGAGGTATAGCCAATCAACTGACAGGACTAAGATGCTCGGCCCTCTCCACGTGGCATTTTCTTGGACACATCTGCATACAAACAAATATATTAGAATGGAGCCTAAAAGTGAATGAGATTAGACTCGCAAGTGATTCAAAAAGCAATCTGCCCTTACTCGGGCAACTATAAAGGACACACATGGGGGGAGGGGAAGGGAGATAAGAGAGAGAGAGCATACGGTCTTCTACGTCCTTCAACTGATAGTAGTGAGGAGCTATTTCTACCAACCATTCAGGCTTTAGTTCAGTAACCTGTAATTCAAGTATCAACTACTTAAGCTCGGCTGTTGAGAAGAGAAAATAATTTTGTTAGCAAGGGAGCAGGTGGGGGATATATACCTGCCGCATGTACTCTTTGCTCGTCAAAACCAGCTCATGGTAGACAACCCATCTAGGAAGAACCTATAAACATAATTGTAGATCAATACTTGTCAACTTGAAATATGGAAGATTACAACACAGTTGTTTTCAAGGAAGTCAGAAGCTTGAATTTTACATAATAATAATAATAATAAAGAGGATTTTGTATCAATCAATATTAAGCCTACAAGAAATATTATGCATTTGTCCACTTATGCTACATTTAGAAATTGCATTGCAATTAGTATAGGGGAAACCAAAACACTTTATACAAATTTTAGAAATTCCTAAAGTCCTTCCCAATAACATTGCAGCATCCATATAATTATGTTGTGAAAACTATGAATAATTGAAGAGAAATCCACAATTAAATAGAGTTTACCTGTGCTAG